AGACAGACAGACAGACAGACAGACAGACAGACAGACAGACAGACAGACAGACAGAAGGCGAGAGAGATAGAGATGGAGAATGAGAGGGAGGGGGGAGGGAGGGAGGGGGATAGAGAGAGAGACAGGGAGACAGACAGACACAGAGAGAGAGAGAGAGAGAGAGAGAGAGAGAGAGAAAGAGATAGAGAGAGAATGAGCGAGAGAGAGAGAGAGTACCGATTACTCATCATCATTTCCCTTGGTGAGATGCAGCATCTTGGGAGAAAAAAGCGGATTTCGTTAAAATAAATTCACTAAAACGAGATTCGAACTCATGTCTTTTGGAGGAAACAACAGCTGTTACACTACAGACACCGGCCTCTTTTTTTCTGTTCAGAATGAGAGAAGTCGTTTTGCTCTCCTTTTATTGTTTTCATAATTACTATTTTTCTATAGGTCACACAGTGTGTGTCGCTGAATGCCACATTGTCTGATTTTTACAAGTTAGTATGTGACATTTTTAAATTTGTCCATTATCTGCTCATTTGACAGACGTATTTTGATCAGATGCAATAATTGTGAGTTTTTTTATTGTCATTTGTTATGATCATACCTCATTTTATATTCATAGGAAAATATCGTGCTACCAAAGATAGCCTATTATACTGACTTATATTGTTTCCCGGTCATAGTTGCATATATTACATTAACACAGAAACATTGAGGGTGCGGATCTAGCAAATTATTCTGAATGAAAAGATTGCTCAGCTATTTCATCAAAACTTATTCATCTCTAACCAATCTAGGGTAGTGGAAAAGGAAAATAAAAAAGAAGAAAGGAAGAAAAAGTTTGTTTCAAGTTAAAGGTTAATAACAATGTGCACAATCATTTAATAATGTAAGGAGGAGAGAGAGAGGGAGAGAGAGAGAGAGAGAGAGAGAGAGAGAGAGAGAGAGAGAGAGAGAGAGAGAGAGAGAGAGAGAACAATTTTTTATCTTTAAAATGAAAGTTTGTCTTTTTAATGTTGGGGGGACAGAATAATAGCAAATAAGAGATAGGTGTGAATAAGAGGAAAAGAAAAAGAGAGACTGAGCGGGAGAGAGAGAGAGAGAGAGAGAGAGAGAGAGAGA